GTTCTACTTTATAAAATAGAACAAGAACAAGTAGTTCTACTTTATTGCCATAAAATAGTAAATGATACTACTAAAATAAGTAAACTTTATTACCATAAATCCATAAACCTAGAAAATAAAGTTCTGCCTAATAACATATCCAATTCTGGTTTTTATTATGCTAAACAAGAAAATTGTTGCAGTACATAGTTTGTTTGTTTTGCAGTTGATAATTTATCTAGGTAAGAATTTTCCTCAAATGTGCTTTTTTATGAATGAAACTGAAACAAAAGTTTTATTAAGTCATGATTTTCAAATGCCGAATGAATTTCTGAACTATGAAGTAACCCTTTTTCATGGTTGTTTCTAAATTTTCCTTATCCACATCTTTTAAACGTTTTTCTAGTTACTTATTATCTGAAAATTAATTAAAATACAGAACTTCAACTTACCAAACACATACACACAGAAATACACAGACCTTTATAGTAATTCAGTTTGATATAATTAATACCCATGAACATAACATATTTCATTCTATGATTCCATAACATTCTTTAACCCAGAATATAGGTCATATTAATTATTGTGTTGCAATTTTTAAAGAAAATTATTAATAAATATCTTACCAGGTTGTACCCAGCACATCAAACACAGAAAAATATATACTCTCATTTGGAATCTGAAAAAGTAAAGAAGTACTCAAATTCACCAAAAAAGAAATTCCGTAATTTGGTAAGGTTTCTCTTTGATAGAACTGTCACAGTCTAGCAGGTTACATCATATTGTAAAAGTGACTTTTGCTCCTCCTTTTTTTTAAAAAAAGATGAAGGAGTTTGTTTTCTTCCATTTGATTTACGGTTGTGAGAAAGATCTTTAAGTCAAAAACTCTATAATAAGTCACAAAGTTTCAGCTACACAAGCTGAATTCAAGGGAATGAAGAAGCTAATTATGTATTTCTTTATTCCTTTTAACCTCAAGATTTCAGAAGTGGTCTGGAAAAATGTCTGTGGGAAGCCCACAAAAAATGTGCCGTTAGAAAATTGCAGGAATGGAAAGAGGCAAAAATAAGTTGTGGTTTATGCCCACTTTGATTACAAAATAACTCATCTTTATATACCACAATCAATAATAAAATTCATACCCATGAAGCTGTCAAGCGTAACTACAGGCTTTTCATGTTTATGTAATCTACATCTAAAACACAGAGGCTATTTTAAAATTTGAAATTCTAGTGTATCTCTTGAGGCCAAATTTTGAAAATAAAAAGTTCTTTTTTTGATTTTATATGACAACCATTTAAAAATATTATAGATTTTATTTTTATAGACTTATTTTTTCTCTTATTTTTCTCCCAGCAATGGACTTTAGCAAGCAATGGAAATGGAGATTTGTTCCATGTACATGTACAAGTTCAAAAATAAAAAAGTTCCTGTAAAGTTTCAAAAAAAATAATAGGAACAGGGTTTAGTTTGCAACACAGGTCAGCAAAAACTAATTTTGCAGTCTGAAAATGTTTCAGATATTCATCAAAAACATGACATTCATTTAAAAGTCATGAAAATTTAGTTGCTGATGAGATTTTATCATTAGTTTAACCTGTTTGATCTCTTTTGATTTTATGTGAAGCTTCCTGTCTAAAGGATGCTGCAATTTTAGTTTTTTGGTGACCTCTCACAAAGATATAATAGACCACATCATTTCAGAAGGTGGGAAGAAAGATCACTTAAGTGTCTTACATGGAAAAAATATCATCTTAGTAAGTTAAATGGAAAATAATTCTTAACATATAATTTCCCTTGGTGCTTTCTAGGTAAAAGTATAGTATGATTCTTATACATTATTTTCATCTTTATTATTCTAAGGAACTCATACAAATTTGACATTTCAAATAGCATAACACTTATCAGAGTTGAAAAATACTAAATTACATTTCCTCATTATCATATATTTTACTTCCTTTCAATATGAAAAAGTCATTTATTAATGCGTGTTGCATTAAATAGCAATTTGCCAAGAGATGACAAAATATATAAAACACCAACAGTTTAGTAAGACACTATTGGTGTATTTATGTAGTCCTCCTTGGGTATAAAAAATGCTTTTAATAAGCTTACAGACATGCATACAATGTCAACAGTAACACAAAGGTGTTGATTGTGCTGCTAATAATGGTGATGCTAATGATGATGGTGATAACTAGACAGATACAAGACTGATCTTTGTGCATCAGGCATGCTTCTGAGCACTTTATGACAGTTGAATACTGTTAGTTAAGGAGAGATATTTTTTATCAGAACATACTTGGTATAACCTTTTATTTAATTTACCAATGGGTCAAAAATCTTTAATAATCTTGCCCTTTCACTCAGCGGTTAAACATCCAACAGACTTTTCTACTGAAATAAAAAGTCTTTGCATGTGATAATGGTCCACATGTACACAAACATATTAGAGCAAGAATGTTCATTATCATAGTCAAAAAAAAGGAAGATACATATACGTGTAACAATGAGAGATTGGTTTAATTATGTACATACTGTGGGTAAAAATTAATGCAGATAGATAAGTATTTATAGTTACAGAAAACATACAAGTTTAGAAGAGAAAAGGCAAGCTGAAAATGGTATATATAGTATGGTTTTTAAATTGGATTATATATATGTATATATACATATGTCAAAATACAGAAGGTTTTCCTCCTAAATGATTCTCTCTACATGCTTGAATATTCATAAATTTTACTTTCTTATTTATTACTTTAAGATTTTAAAATATTGTTTTACAATAACCTCATCTGCAACAAATGTTAAAAAAAATACAATTACTTTAGGAAAATATAATTAGAGAAATCAGAATAAAGATAAAATAAAGGCTTAAAAAGTGAAGAATCCCAGGTGTGGTGTTGCACACCTCTAATCCTGGCATTCTGGGAGGATGAGGCAGGAGGATTGAAACGTTCATCACAGTTTGGGTAACTTAGTGACTTAGCAAGACCCTGTCTCAAAAGAAAAAGAAAAAAAGGGTTGGGTATATAGCTTAGAGTGAAAGACTTGTGTTCAATCCTAAGTACTGGGGAAAAACAGCTAAAGTAAAATGAAGACTTATTTAAAAAAAAATACAAGAGTCCTTTAACATTGATTTGCCAAGTTCCTCTATGCATTCACTCATTTGTTAATTTATGTGCTCAACTCTTATTAGCTATCTGCTGATTACCAGGCATAATCTTAGCTGTTAGGGATATAAAGGAAAAATATTCATTTATTCAAACAGTATTGTTTCAACAACTATTTATTATACATGCACAGATCTGTCAGGGATTGTCCTAGTACTGAAATATATTTATCCTTAGTTTACAGTAAGAAGGGTTTGACAGAAGTATGTCTAAGTAATTATGGTACAACACAGGAAGGGCATCCAGCTAATTTAGATTGCAAAGTTGAAGACATCCTTGCAAGCATACTGCCCAAGCGGAACTACAAAAGACAGCAAGAGTTATCTAGGTAAAGAAGAAAGAGGAGGGTGCTCCACTTATACACATGAGCATATGTGTATATGTCCATATATTTTTATTTTATAAATTTATACAGGAGATACAAAACATCTTAATGTGTGTGAAGTAAGGTTATATTTTGAAGACTATCCCATGCAGTTGACCCACTGCCACTTATATATTCTCCAGTAAATGCTCATGGTTATTTTTTAGCTATTGCTAGCTTTATTACCATGCATGCATTCAATACAAGTTAGGAAATGTAGTAGTTTTACATTAGAAAATGGTCCATTGGATGAAATGTGAACAAATAGGTAAATGCATCAGCTGAATTTGAGAGTTTATAGCAATGAACAAGCACTCTAGAATTGTAAGCAACATAAACTTGTGTAGAGACAAAACAGAAGAGGATGTAATAACACAAAAATCATGCACATTTTTAGACAAAGAATAGCACAAGTTTCTATGTAACAATATAATATGATAATTAACTATTTGAAAATACACATTTACAACATGCAGACTCCTATATAGACAATGAATTTTTTATAATGAAACCTGAAGATACAGCTCCCAGACAAGCAACACTTGAGGGAAGGTTAAAAAGGAACTATGTTGGTCTGGATAGGACTTGTGAAATAAATAAATACAAACATATCAAAACTTCTGCACACAAGAAAGGTTTTCACATATTCACTTGGTCAACATATAGTGTTATTTGTTTATACTGCACCAGTTTCCTTAGCTTCCTCTTATTTTACAAATATGATAGACGCAAGAGGGAAAAAAGGAAACAGGATTTAAAGGCTAATGAACATCAAGTGAGGATAACTGCTAATGCTACTGATACTGATATTGTATTTCTGGAAGTCTGTTTCTCCCACAATGCAGATTTTTATATTTACTTTTGTTCCTCAAGTACTAACACAGTGCCTGACTAACAGGAAATAGTCAGAAAATACCTTTTGCCTTATATGAATTATATTAATCCAATCTATTCCCTAAGAAAAGTAACCTGAATTCAACAAAGTTCTTTGTTCAAAGTCATAAAATAAGTGCCAATGTTAAATGAAAATTAAAATTTCCTAAAATATGCTTTTCTTTAGAAAATCAGGTTTTTCTGATATATCCCCGAAGTAAAAACATGTCTCTTCGATACAAAATTACTTGCTATCACTACACCAAACCAAAGAGCAAGTGCTGTCCTCATTACTAGTGTCGTATCTACAGGATGCTTTCAGGATGCTTTTAATAGATGCTTTTCTATTTCGACATTTTCCAAAGCTTCCATGTTACAGGCTGTTTTCTCAAGGTCACGGCCACCCACCTAAAATTTCTAGTGTCATTTTCAAGGACTCCTCCTGGGACCACTTTCTGACTAAATAAGCCATAATTTCAGTGCTCTACCGCAAAGCATCCACTCTCCCATCGCCTTCAGTTCAGTCGGGGGCGGAGCCCCAGCGCGGTGGGCGGTTCCCGCGGTCCCGTGGTCCCGAGGCCCCGCCCCGCGTGCGCACCCGGCATTGGCCCCGCCCTTCCCGAGCGGCTCTGTAAAGCGGGGCGAGTGGGCGGGATTTGGGGGCCTCGTCCATCCTGGGGCCCAGACGGAGGGATGTTCCCTACTCAGGAAGAGGCCGACACGACGGTGTTTGTGGGGAATTTAGAGGCCCGAGTGCGGGAAGAGATTCTTTACGAGCTGTTCCTTCAGGTACCGTCGCGGGGAAGGGGCGGCGGGGGGTCGAAGCGCCCCCGAGGACGGGGCGCACCTGGACCCCCGGAGCCTGGCCCCCTCTCCGCCCCTCCTGTTCCTGGGTTGAATTTAGCTCCTCCGTGGCGGTCTCGGCTCCGGCGCAGCTGGGGATGAAGTGGCGGCCGAGCGTCCCATCCCCCGCGCAGAGTCCGGGGAGTGGGCAAAGACGGTGGTCTCCCAACCCCCGGCCCCAGTAAGGCTCTCCAAAGGCTGCCTGGGCCCGAGGTCCTGCAGCAGGGCAGAAAACAGGTCTGTCACTGTCTTCAGGCGGTGAGCACCTTAGGTCCTGATCCTGCGAAATGAGGGGTGTCGCTTGTTAAATGTCTCCACCGGTATATAGGAGACTCATTCCCCTAAGCCCTTTTATTCGGAGAGCAGTGCATAATAGAGATTTCGTGACAAGGCAGACCATTTACCTGACCTGATCAATTGATTGCCTGGGCAAGGCCTTTTATTTCATTCCAAAAGGACCTTCGAAAACTTTCAGAGGTCTGCTACCTCCAGGATTGAGACTGTGTCCTGTAACAGTCACCTGTTGTATACACCTAGGTCTCACTTGCCATAGCAGTTCTTTATTCAACCACTCAGTCACCATTTAGAGATCCAGAGTTACAGAGCAAACACGAAGTAAGGTGCTGAGCACACAGATTTAAGACACCCCTTGGAACATTTTTAAAGGGATATTTAAAATGAATTAATCATGATTTAGCATAACCTACAAAACAGAGGAGTACATAGTATAGAAGAGTGGCTGAAAGTCTGTAGTCTGAAGTCAGCAATGTGACTTTGGGTCAGTAATGAATATCTCAGTGCCTCAGTTTCCTCAAATGTCAACTGGAAATAATACTGTTTACAGTATGAGTGATTGTGATGAATAAATGAGCCAATACATGTAGGCAAAACGGAGCTACACATGGCAATTACTAACTGCTGCTACTACTGATAGCACTATTAGTATTAGTAATAATGCTAAGGTCAAGAGAGTGACCTCTACCTATCAGAATAAGGGAAAGTTCCATTATTATGTGTGAGCACTAGAAGGATTATTTTAAATTTGGTTTTTAAATAACTTACCTTTATCCTTAAAGTATTCCTCAATTATAGGTAACACACACTTTGGTGGAGATGGTTCGCTCCTGGAACAATTTCCTTTCCTAGACCCCCCAAAAAGTGAATTTTAATATTTTTATGTTTATCCTTATTATTTGCTCTTAAGTTTAGCCTTTTAAAAATTAAACTCTTATTCTTGGCTTTTGCTAATCCAATATGATTTCAACCTTACAGACAGAGACAGAGAAAAACACAGAGAGGACAAGAATGTAAACTTACAGTTATTTTCTTCCAGGTTTCTTTTGTGCTGAGCCTCTATAAAGGAGAGAGGGTGGAAATGGTGGTAGGGTAGTAATAACTTATACACACATGGGATCATACACACATGTGATTTCTAGTCAGGAAGGACAGAGTTTATATCAATGTGTGGATCTGTTATCATTTTTTATGATTTCCTTTTTCCACCTAAATAAAATTTAATAGATTAGAAACTAAGTATGTTTTTATTTTTGCCTAGGAAGAATTCGCAAAAAGTAGGTATCTTTTCTGTCAGTTTTTGTATTTTTTGTACATATTTGCAGTACATAATTACCTTAAAATTAGCAAAGCTTGATAGCTTCCACAAATATGTTTCATTCTAGCTTAAAAGATTATGATTGTTGCTATAGCAAATTTGCTAAAGCAAATTTTCTTTTTGAATTTTATGTTTAAAAATGCCTTGGCATATCTAAATTTGTTTTTTTAAATCATATTAACCGCATTTTGTTTCTGTGCTTCCATATACTTAGTATCACTAGTAGAAAAGTGAAAATTGTAAAACATATACAATTTTTAATATTACTGTACACATATATCATATACTATTATGTTTCAAATTTCTAACTGTCCTTTGATGTGAGAAAATCAGTTTCATCATTGTTGTACTTCTAATCAAGAAACACTAGAATAAAGATATATGAGAAAAATGTAACTTAAATTTCAAATATGTTGGGTTTTAAATACAGTCACACAAAGGTTTCTAGGACCCTGTCACCTTACAAGTAGCTTGAATGGAAAAAGCTGATTTGTTAATGGGGTCACCCTTGAAGTTAAAGTGAGGATGAACTAGTTCTTTCAATGCTGTAGAGAATGTAAAGAGAGTGAATTTTAAGATATCAGCATTATTTATACATTTATGTGACTTCATAGAAAAATAATCAAAGTAAAAACCATTTGCCACTAAATCAGCTTTGTGTAAGTCTTTAAGTTCCTCCTGCAATGATTATCATACAAGTGATGTAATTTTTTAGTTGTAATTTACATTTCTCTACATTGTCTTTTTTACTTTCAATTATTTATATAGGTTTTTTTATCAGTACAGTCTTGATATTTGTAATTTATGGTATTTTATTCCATTTTTATAATACACTACGAAATTGTATCTCCAGTCATTAGATTTAGACCCTTTCTGATTTTTTACTTTTAAGAATAGTGCACCTACTTAAAGGTCTTAATCATATTAAAACACTCCTCCTTCTCGACTATTTATCAGCCAGGATTTCCAGATCAAAATACATGATGTTTAGTTTCTACTGTGAATATTTTTTCATCTTCTTGACAGAAAAATAATTCAGTTTTGATGTAATTTTGCCATCTTTTTGAGGCAAACTCAACCAACATTGAACTTGTCACTGCATTTTATTTTTTAATTAAATGGAGATGGTAAAATTGAGGGTGAATAACATAAAAGCACATTATATACATGTGTGGAAATACCAAGTGAAATTTGTTATTTTGTACAATTGATATGGGCTAATAATTATAATTTTAAAAAACACTGCTAGAATGTATGGAGATGGAGTAATTTAGGTTTAAATGCTTTGAAAATTGATTTAAGAAACCCAGGAAAGATGTAATAGTTCTTTCTTTTTTAATACATGGAATTATTACCAAGAATTATCTTTTCCATCCATGTTTCTTTGATAAGTCAAAAAGTATAAAGTATGACAAATTATGATGTTTATTATTAGGAAGATGTGAACAGATTGGTTTTTAGTCACCAAAGTTGAATTTACTTGATTTTTCTGAGTGTACAAAATCTTTAGATTTATGACAAAATAATTTTTAAGTTTCTTATAGGCTGGACCACTAACCAAAGTGACTATATGCAAAGACAGAGAAGGAAAACCAAAGTCCTTTGGATTTGTCTGCTTTAAGCACCCTGAATCGGTGTCATATGCTATAGCTTTGCTGAATGGAATTCGTTTATATGGAAGACCAATTAATGTGCAGTATCGATTTGGTAGGTTTTTTCACTGATAAATCTTTAAAGTGTATTTAATTAATGCATGGTTACATCATGGTCTTTGGTACTGCCCAGTTAACTCACACAAACAGCAGAGCACATTATGATCAGACACATCCTGTGTTAAGTTAAACAGGCTTCTGTGGAGTACAAAAATCTCACATCTTCTACATTAGAGGCAGATAACACTGATTGTTTGCCATGTTTAGCTTACAGATGTGTAGAACAAAAAGATAAAATATAACTTATACATTATAGTGTCAGTGCAATTCATGTATATGGCCATTCTCCTGGACAAAGCTTTATTAGAATTCATTTCACTTATAATAATACAAACAATCTGTAAATATGACTTGAGATAAAATAGGTGTGCATATATCCATATTAGCAAGAAATGTTAAGTCTGTAGCTTGTCCTAAAAGATTTTTGGTTATTTTATGGTTTAGTGTTAGAAGTCCAAGTAAGTATATTGTGAAGTAATCAATATTTTATCCTTTTAAGGGAGTTCTCGCTCTTCTGAACCAGCTAACCAAAGTTTTGAGAGCTGTGTAAAGATAAATTCACATAGCTACAGGTAATTAAACATATATTTATCATAAAGGTAACACAAATAAATGGTTGTATAATATATGTTAAAGACAGTAAATATAGTAAATATTTGCCAAGAGCAGTTTTATTATATTCAGGGATATTGCAAAACCTTATTATTTAGACATAAAACAGAATTTAAAAGTTCATTTTCCCCAAACCTATGCAAAGTGACAGAAAATGTTTTCATTTAAAGTTCAGTCTTAACAATTCCAGTAATAAGTGGTAGAGATATACACAGATAGTGCTCTTTATAGTTTTTGCTTTCCATAAATACTAAATCATTTTAAGCATACGAGGTCTTCCTGTAATGAACTATAGACATACTATTATCTATATTTTATATTTTGGTAAATGCAGACACAAAATGTAACCATTTCTCAAGGTCACCAAGATGATACGATGCTAGCCTTGAAACTAACACTGCCAACATTAAGGCATTCCATTATTCATTTTACTATTTTAGAACTTCTTTCTGTCAATTTTTCAAAATATTCTAGAATTTTGTATAGACTGAGAGCTTGATGCAATACTAGGTTTCAAGGATACTACCTGACAAGCTGCCACAGAGGCCATGGAACAAAAAGGTTCTCAATCTAAATTAAGATGCCCAAATTATACTGTGTCTTAAATAAATTTAAGACACAGTAAGAAGCAAGAACAAAGACATTGGATAGGTTAGCACACTTAGGATAGGATACACGTGAGAAAAATGATCAAGTAACTGAGTTCTGGTTACCCTACTGTGCACAGGCCCTATTTCACCCTGTGTTGTGTCAGCTTCCCCTGCTTATAGTGTGGCCATTACAACTACAGTGGAGGTTTAAGCAAGGCTATCCATCCAGGTAGAAAGTTCCTGGGCCCAACATTACTTACTTGGGCCCTGAAAGAAACATGGGGGGAAATACACATGGCTACACAGAGAGCTTGCTGGTTTCTCCAATAGATACGCTTAGGTTTAATCTGCGTTTCTTAGGTAGAGCAAAAGCCAGAGTAGAAGGATAACTTTTAGGCCACAGGAGGCATGATCAAGGGTGGTGTATATCTCCCTTTGCTATATCTTACAGAATCCTAATTTATTCACTGTTCATGCTTAATATATATTATGAATGCTTCCTTGGTCTCACAAGTGCTTTGCTTATTCTAGCCCTATAACTTTCATGACTATCTCATAAACTACCAGCTTACATACCATCTACATTAAGGATTTATGTGAGTTTCATCCATCATGTTTGTTTTCTCGTGTTCCATTGCAGAACAAAGTGTTCTGAAGAAAACTAATAATAGGTGAACCTCCTATCTTTTTCATTTTATCAGCCCTATGAGGAATAAGAGAGTGGCTTCTTGGGACTGGCAAATACCCAGGCTTATCTTTAGAAGTATTACATCTCAAATGAAGCACAGTGTGTTCTGCTTCTTTTTTCTCCCCCACATTTCTACACTGTGAAATCAAGAGAAGTTAAAAATTTAGGTAGTGAAGTCCGATGGCCTGAATTTGAATCCTGCCTCTGCCATTGTGTTAACGGTGTGAACCCACTAATAAGTTATTTCACTGTAGGAACTAGTGTACAAGTTTATCCTGACTGGGGGGACAGGGGGACAAGGTTTACAGAACAAAAACAAAGATAATTTGGAAAAAGGGCCTGAGGGCTCTTCCCTGTAGTGGACAAAAAGCCCCACCCTGACAATGCTTCTCACTTTTATTAGAGTTACACAAAGAAGAAAGAAGCAAGCATGTGATCCAAGGTTCATGAAAAGTTTATCAGATTCTCATAATTGGTAGACTGTACCTGAATGTGTATTTTACTTAGACTTCAGCTGTAGTTATTTCTCTCATTGAAACTGGTTGATGCCAGCATGCTAACAAAAATAGCACGAGGTAGGGAGCAGCTTGCTATCCCCTCCACTACATCACAAGGAGAGTTCAATCCAGGCCCTGGTCTCATACCTGGTTTCCGACATTTCACCACTCTGATGTCTATCTCTAAAATGAAAATAATACCTGGAAAAGTTATTGTTGAGAGTAGAATTTTGTAATAAATCCAAGGTCTTAAAGAATTAGCATATAGTGAGGTTTCAGTAGGCGTTAGCCAAAAAGGATAGAATTTATTACTTTGATAGGGAAAATAGACTTATGGAGCAGGCCATATACTATATGTGGTATAAGATCATCTCCTCTTTTTTTTTGTTCCAAATAGGAAAAGATACCTCAATTTTCTCAGGTGTAGGAAGGAACAAGAATTAGTAGGAATTTGGCAGAAGAAGAAAGACTTGATAAGCACCGGAAGACTTCAGGAAAACCCTTGTATCCTCTACTTACATTTGATACAGAGTTTCTAAATACAGAGTTTCAAATTCTAGATAGAAGATCAAAATTGGGTGTATATCCCACGACACTGCATTTCATTAGTAATACTTTATTCCCGTAGTCTTTGTGATATTATAAAGGAAACGCGAGAATAAGTTATAATGTCCCAGAAGTTGTGTACAAAGAAAAATGGTGTCCATTTAATCTCCTGGTCCTTCTCTAATCATTCCTGTAAATTAATTTTTCTGTTTCTTATTGTCTCTCATGCCTTTTTTAAAGAATAGTTCTTGTATTTATTTACTAAGACTGTCATAACATGATACAATTAGCAGAGTGCTTAAACAGCAGAAGTTCACTGTCTCATGGTTTTGGAGGCTAGATGACCAAGAACAAGCCATCAGCAGGATAGGAATCTTCTGGAAGCTGTGAGGAAAAATCTGTTCCATGCCTCTTCCCTAGCTTTTAGTGGTTTGATGACAGTGTTTGACAGTCCTTGGAAATGTTTGATACTCATTGGGTTACAGAAGCATTACCTAGATAGAAGCCTTTATTTTCATATGGTGGTGTTCTCCTTGTATGTACCTGTCTCTAGATCACCTCTTTTATATGGAAGAGAGCCATATTGATGTATGGCCCCATCTCACTGCCCTATGACCTCCTCTTAACTAATGATATCTGCAACAATAACCCTGTTTCCAGATAAATACACATTCTGATGTACTTGGAGGTGAAGACTTCAACGGGTGAATTTGGAGGGCATTTGTCAATGTGTAGCAGTTCCTAATTTACATGTGATTCCTCTATGTAGACAAGAGTGTCCTGAGACTCACATAGGAAAGATTGTGGTTTTAGAGAATCCACAGCTATTTTCGTAATGGTGCTAATCTCACCTATGCAATGGAGTCAGTCTTACCTCCCTATAACCTCCCTCCACCTTACATTTCATTTCTTTTCTGACACTTCTCCACACTTGTTGCAGTCTCCCTGCACCCTGTTTCCTAACCAGCCTATTATATTTTCCTTCTTCCATCCACTGATCAGTCTTTTGTCCTTTATATCCTTTCTTCTCATTCACTTCTCAATCCCATTGTTATAGGGAAATTGCTTTACAAGGAAACAGTTTGATAGCCTACATGTTTATCCAATTTATTCCTCTATGACAACTGATATATGTCTAGTTCTTTTCTTAATAAAGTTCACTCTTCCTTTGCCTTCTATGATGCTAGTCTTAATATTTATGAACAGAGTATCTTCCTATCCATCTGACTGCATCCTGTCATTCTCCTTACCCCATCATTTTCTCTACCTGCTTGTATTGATTTTACCCTTCCCCACAGTATAGTTCCTATCCTAAGGTTGAGTAGTGTTATTAAAGTAGATTATTAACAAATATCTACAAAACCCAGCCAGTATTTCTAACATCTCAATAAAAGCCAATATTACACATATAAATGAAGTTTAAGACCCCATAGTTTTTAAATGAGAAATTTTTAATGATCTTAATTAATATGTAGAAGTCATCAGTAAGAATATTCATGTTCACCTCACCACCAGTCTGTTTAGGAAAGAGCATGATTTCTACAATTTAATAACAAAGATATCTTTAAAGAAATCAATGAAACTCTGATTTTTAAAAACTTTTATAACTTTAGAAAATTTAAATGTACTATTTGTGATTATTAATAATTTGCTTTTGTTCTGTCAGTATCTAAGTGTGTCTGTCTTTATACAAATAAAACATTGTCTTAACATTTTCCTAACAGAAGGCTGAATGTGTTGAGAATGTATAGGAAATTAATTAATATATTGCTGTATCACTACATTATGTATTGGTATAACAACTGATTATATGTATGGATGTTTAAAGTAAAAACTAATCTAAACTAATGCTATCAAAGAAGTTCGCCCTTTTTCTCTAATTATGGAAAACTGTCATTTTTTTAAGACAAAAGGACATTTGTTCCTAGAAATTTTAAGATTCTTTCTTGTTTTATTTCTCCAAAGGAATGAAGAAGTGGTGGGCAGATCTTCTTTTCCCATGCATGTTTTTCCAATTAATAATACTGATTTACCTCAAGAATATTTTTTCTTTCAGAAGATGGTAAGTTTGGTATTCCTTCAGTTCAGTGTATAATATGATAGAAAGTATGGAGGACATGAAAAGTAGGTCATTGTAAATCCTCTAATACTGCTACAGACAGTCATTGTATAAACAGAAAAAGGGTGAATGGTAGTGATAATACAGGTATCCCAGTGAAATTTGAGTACCATGTCCTCATTTAAATGACTATTTTAAAAGATATTTTCAGAATTGAACAGTTCATTTCACTTAGAATAAAAAGCTTTATTTAATGTTATCAATCACAAATAGTGGGCTTTAGACCTGGATAATTTCAATATAAATTTCTCTTTTTTTCTAAATGTAAAACTATGTGAATGTTGCTAAGTAGTAAACTGTATTATTTCCAAAGGCTTTCAAAAATTGACTGTAGCTTAGAAATCTTTATTGTTAGAAGAGAACCAACTTTTTCCTTTGAAGTTTTCATTTCATAGATAAGAAAATTCATGTTCAGAGATAAATAAGCCAGAGTTTATAAAGCTTTTCAATGATAGATGTGGAACTAACAGGTCTGATTCAAAGGGTGTTATTTTTACAATATACACACAAATATATATATGTACATTTGTGTGTGTGTGTGTATATATATATATATATGATTTTTCAAATATTTGTCTCTAATTGATAATGCAGAAAGGAATTTTTCCATAAAATAGTGTTTTAACTTTTAGAATAACTATTTAAAAGTGTAGTAAAGTATAAATAAGAAACCAACTAAAATGATCATTGTGTTCTTCCCAACATTTTTATCTTTTGGTAGGTTGGGTTAAGTTGGGAGACAAGCTTTGTGTACCAACTTTAATATTTAATCTGCTTTGAGTAGTGAAAATTTTAAGAACTTTATTTAAAAAGGAAGTGCACCCCTATGGTTGATAACTATGCTATAGAACATAAGAGGCATTATGTAAGTGTACACCTAGGAAGCTTTTGATTTTATTTGATTTTTAATTTAAATTTAAAATATATACTTAAATCAGTCATTGAAAATTTTATATATATTTGAAACAACTTGGGTCAAATATTTTTTCAATTGCAAATTTTATGTAATCTAAATTATGATCAAATATTTTCAAAAAAAATTTGGCATCTAAATTGAGAAACGCTGTAACCATAAAAATTACATCATATATTTTGAAGACCTCATATGATGATAAAAGTAAAGTATCACAATAGTTCCTACATTAGTAATATTAAAATCATAATATTTTGACTATGTTGTGAAAAGTAAAGTCATTATTATTTAATCTTTACCTGTTTATTTTATTCTTATATTGTGGCTACTAGAAGATTTAGAACTATAAATTTGGTATGCATTTTATTTCTGTTGGAAAGTGCATATCTAGACTGTATTAAGCTACATATTACCTACTGGAATATTTATGTTAACCATTTAAGGAAACCCCTGAAGACTACAATTACAAGTCAGTGTTTTTCTTACCTGAAAATACAGTTTGGTTTACTCATGGCTATCTGCATAATGCATGTGAACTGTTAACTTTCTAGGTAGATGAGTGTCTTTTTTTCACTGCAGTGGCACACACATAATCCATTGCTGCAGCTTCCTTACTATGAGATGACAGCTCCACTTCCAAATAACACATCTGGATCTTCTGCACTCAGTCACGTTCCAGAGCCAGAGGCTGGACCCAGCTCTTATGAATGGACCCCTCAACAACCAAGTGACTGTAACCATTACCAGATGAATAAAAGAAAGAGACAAAAGCAAGCCAGTGATAGTGACAGTAGCACAGAAAATAATAGAGGAAATGAATATAACCAAAAATTCCGAAAATACAAGAAAAAGAAAAGATATTAATACCATCAAATTTGTCTATACTGGTCTTAGTTCTCTTTAAAAAAAATCTGTATTTTACCAAATGAGCAATTTCTTGGTTGTCTTCTTTGAAAAATGTAACACTGATTTATCCAATGTGCTATTTAATTTTAACTTTAAATAACATGGTTTTTAAAAATAATGGCCTACTTTTTGTACTTGTCGTGCAACTGTTGATGAATTGTTGATGTAAAATGCACTTTGTCATTTTATTTTATGCTGCTGATGAAATTTTACTGTTATTAAGTCTGAACACTTATGGATTAGGGGGCCAGGGATTTAGCTCAGTGGTGCCACCGCCTGCCTAGCAAGTGGAAGGTCCTGAGTTTGATCCCTGGTACCAAAAATAAAACAAAGCTTATGGCTTAGGCACCATGCTCTCCCTAAATTGTCACTGTAGCCTTCTACTATAAATAAGCTGGGATTAGAAGTGGAGCAGTGGATTTCCTGAAAAAACTAATGCAAATATTTAAAAGTTGCGTGTTGTGCCTGATGAATATGTAATAAGCAAGCTTTAGTTCCTTTTGTTAATAACATTTTATTTTTTATGCCTAATATATTATTTCTGAGTCTTATTCTCCTTTAGGTTTATTTTATAGCATAAGGACATATGACAGTGACAGTGATACCAAAGGAAAAATATTATCATGGGGCTAGATTTTGAGTCATTCCCTTTTTGTATGATTTAAATAAGGATACATGCCTTTTTACTTCTCATTTATTAAGTGGTTATCATGAAAATTAGCTACATTAATATTTATTATCTACCACTTTTGCCAGGATGGTTTGAGAGGATATATTTAATGTATTTAAGTCTTGATAATGTTTGAGTAAATAGAATGACGTTTGATTAATATACAATACATATCAAGATTCCCATTTGAGTCTCATTTATTTTAAAAGGTATACAGGTTACATGTAAAATAAATGGTTTATTTGGACATTCTTGTTATTTTATAGCTCATCATAAATTGGAATGGTGAAAAGCACATATTTATTAAAACTAATTGAAAGAATTATGCAGTTCCACTGGGAGTTACCAATGAATTCAGTAGGTAAAGCCATGTTTGAAATTTGGGGGGCATGTTACTGCACTTCATAAGCATTTAGTACTTAAAAGAATAAAGATATATTTTAACCCAAGTAGTAACTACACTTTTGTTTATACATATATAATATAGTGGAGCTTAAAATAGGAATATTAGTCTGTTTCAATCCAATCGATATAAAAACTAGAGTCTATATAACTTTGTCTTCATATAATTGAATATTCAAACTGTAAGATTTTTTTCTTTATAAATTCACATTTTTGCAGTTTAGAATCATGCTGAAAGGAAAGATGTGACCCTCTGTAATAAGAAAATAGCATTTCTTTAAAAGCATAAATTTCACCTTCAGTCTTTTCTTTAATTCTATAAATATACCTTAGACTTAAATTTTTCATTATAATTATTATAGGAAGTATGTACATGTTTCTTAGCAACTAAGAATGGTACGTGGTTAAGAAAATTATCTTGAAAAACCATGAAATAAATTAAAATATTGAAAAAAACTCTCGTAACTGCTTATATCACAAACAGGAAATGACTTCCAGATCCACTTTAACAAGTCTGCCAACTTGAACTAAACAGAAGTCTAGGAAATTCACCTTTATTTTACGTCTTTTATTCTTTAAAAATATAAAATGTTCCTTAAATTATTAATATTTAGCACCATGCTATACAATTTTACATTACCAATTTTCCCAATACTATATATTTAAGAATCATTAAAATGTTTTTCCTGGGAGGGTATTTTCTAATTTTAATCTCCCACTCTTTAAATCTATTTATTTTTAAGCACCTGGGTATACATTTTCTTCAAATGCTAGAGAAATCTTAGAATCTGAGAACAAAATTTAGACATTTTGCATATTCTCAGACTTACTAGTTTATTTTTTATAAATGAGTTTCTGTAATGCACCAGGCAGTGGCCAAACAAGCAAAAACTCACCTAGAATTAAAGTTAGATCAATTTGAATGCCAAGCGCACCCTTGAAATCTGTTGAAATGGCCCATACACTAAGCTATGATTTCATATGTATAGCTGTTTAAACAAAGCTGTCGCCTATGAAATCTCTACATTATGATTTCATTGTGATCATTATTGAAAATGATTATAAACAATAACACTGTAACATGATTATTATAAAATTCTGATGAATTATTTTCGCTTACATGCTTGGAGCTTAATGAAGGAAAAAGTTAAGAATTATTATACTTTCTTAGCATTGTTCAGGTGCAAAAATATTGTGCACAGCCATATAGTCCACCTCTCCTTATATGGTTAAATACTAATACATTGATGGGAGAGATTGGGAAATAAGAGGTCTCTTTTACCAGCACTCGCAACATAGTATCACAATAATTTTTCTCACCTACTGAACATACCCACTTGAGGGTCCCATTACCACTGAAAATTCAACACTTTCCATTTTATTCTAATTATGTCCCATATATTTCCTTCTTTGCCAGTTTTGCCCAGTGCTCCACTTAACTAAGCAGTTGTTTAAAGGTTCCAGCAGCAACCTTCCTTCAGTGATTTACCATGGCTTGGAAATAAAATGTCCTGCAAAACTAATATGGTTAAGGCTTGCCCCATCCCCTAACCCCCACTGGTGGCGCTATTGGGAGGTGATAGAAACTTTAGGAGGTAAGATGTAGTTGAAGAAAGATCACTGAGGGTGTACCCTCGAAGGGAATATTGGGATTCGACCCCATCCGCTCTCTCCTGTGTTTCATGGCTGCCATGAAATTTGCACCTTTACATAATCTCTCTTGGTTCTTTTTCCCCCTTCCCCTGCCCTCCCGTCAACCCCTCCAATCCTCCCTATCTACAAAGTCTTTGTTTCCATTTTTTCTTATATTACTTCCATTCCCTTCTTTCCCTCCCCCTACCCCTCACACTTCCCCTTCACCTTTGCCCCTTTTCTTCCTATTTCACATTATTATACCTTTTAGTCCTTATTTACTCTTTCAGTCTCTCACACTAGAGAAACTATATGGTATTTACACATCTGTGTACCATTTATTTCACTTAAAAGTATCACCTCAATGTGCATCCATTTAGCTATAAATGTCTTTAATTTCTCATTTTTTATAGCTGAGTAGTACTTGATTTTATTTAAAAAAAAAAACCTCACATTTTCTTTATCCAGTCTCCACTTGATGGGCAATTGGGCTGCTTCCAAGTTTTACCTATTACAAACTGTGCTGCTCTGAACATAGGTGCACATATATCACTGTGGTATGATTGTTTTAATTCTTTGGGGAAGATACCCAGCAGGGGAATAGCTGGGTCAAATGGGACTTCCAATCCTAGTCCTTGAGGTATCTTCATAATGATTTCCACAGTG